CCACAAGCAATGTGTTTTGCTCTAGAGAAGAGAGAAGGTCTTGAACAGACCTAACATAAAGTGTATTGGTACAACCCACAGCAAAGCACCAGATGTTGTAGTCAGTTTTCCAAGTGAACTTAGGTCAAGACAGCGAGGAAGCTAAACAAGCCTGTGAGTGCTTGGCACTGAATTTTCAGGTATTTAAAAAAAAATAAAGTCTGACTTGGAAAAACCTCCACTGAGCTTTTTAACAATTCATGGGTGGCTGTTGGTTTGGTTTTTCAGGGTTATTGCAACTAGAAGTGTTGTGCCTCAAAGTGTGTTGTTTTTTTTCTATGCTTCGTAACAATCTAGGCATAGATTTAGATCTGATTCCCCAGGAATGGGCTTGTCTAGCAGAGACTGTGTTTGCTTTTCTCTAAGTACTTGTGTAGTCACACTGACTTGCATCGCATCTCCAAAGGAGACTTCCCATGTATCCAGAGTTAGCTCTGCAGGGCTGGCACCAGCTTGTCTTCAAACCAGTGCTTCTCAATGCAGTGATCATTCTGGGGCCCCCAACATCAGAAGGCTATCAACCAGTTGGAGCGAGCCCAGAGGAGACCATGAAGATGCTCAGAGGGCTGGAGCACCTCTGCTATGGGGACAGGCTGAGAGAGTTGGGCTTGTTCAGCCTGGAGAAGAGAAGGCTCCGGGGAGACCTTATAGCACCTTCCAGTACCTGAAGGGGCTACAAGGAAGCTGGGGGGGACTTTTTACAAGGGTCTGTAGTGACAGGACAAGGTGTAACGTGTTTAAATTGAAAGTGGGGAGGTTTAGATTAGATATCGGGAAAAAGTTCTTCATGGAGGGGGGGGTGAGGCACTGGAACAGGTTGCCCAGAAAAGCTGTGGATGCCCCATCCCTGGAAGTGTTCAAGGCCAGGCTGGATGAGGCTTTGAGCAACCTGACCTAGTGGAAGGTGTCCCTGCCCACGGCAGGGGGGTTGGAACTAGATGGTCTTTAAGGTCCCTTCCAACCCAAACCATTCCGTGTTTTGGTGGACTTCTGCTGAGGCTCTGTAAATGAGTGCTGTGGCCAGTGTGCTTCCCTGTCACGCAGTCATTTTCCTCCCCTTCTCCTCATGAAAACCACAACAATGGTTACAATGCTTCGAACTTTGTACCCTACCAAGACCTCCTGTACATGCTGCGAGTGGGGTGGAATGAAATGAAGTCACTGTTCACAGTACTGCTCTGGGGCCACAAAGCAGCATGAGCATCAGGAGGATGCACACTGTGACTCTGGCACCACCCAGTTATCCCTTTATCAGTATGCTATGTCTCTTGGGGGAAAAAAACTTGCCTGTGTTAACTCCTGGAAGCAGCAAAGTTCTCTTGAATGCTCACCATCCATTCCTTGTTCTTGTCTAGGATCCAAATAAAGATACGGAGTGGAATGACATTCTGCGCAAGAAAGGTATCCTTCCTCCAAAGGAAAACCTAGAGGAACGGGAGCGTGCAAAGGAAGAGGAGCAGTTTGCTATCCTTCAGAAGTCTCTTGGTGAGTGACCAGGCCAGCTTGGGGGCAGCAGCAACAGGACAAGTCTTGGAATGGCTCCTGGGGGAAGACTGTACAAAGAATTGAGGGGGTGGTGAGGTGCTGGAACAGGTTGCCCAGAGAAGCTGTGGATGCCCCATCCCTGGAAGTGTTCAAGGCCAGGCTGGATGGGGCTTTGAGCAACCTGGTCTAGTGGAAGGTGTCCCTGCCCATGGCAGGGGGGTTGGAACTAGATGGTCTTTAAGGTCCCTTCCAACCCAAACGATTTTATGGTTCTATGAAATGGCCAGCAATGATGTTCTTGTGCTTGTAAAGCAATGTGTCCTTTTCTAATCTGTAAAGGATACCAAAGCTTATTCTTCTCTGTTAACAGTATCAAACAAATACATTATTGAACATGTGGATTCTTCCAGCACAGGAAAACTTGATGTCAGATCCATATATTTATACAAGTAAATGTTTGAAAACTGAAACAAGAACAATGTGAAGCAAGTCAGCTGTGTGAATGTGCAAATAAAAGTATCTCCTGACATTACCTTGTGTATGCTTCCTCCCTTCTCCAGGCATCCCTGCAGTGGGGGTGTGTGTGTGTTAAGTATGTCTTTGCTGCAGCCACCAAACTTCAAAGCTGGTTCAGGTACTCGTGTGCTAGTCTAGGCAGCCTTCAGCTCTGAATCCTCTACATCATTGTTTTTCTGTATGTCTAAAGTGCATAATATTTTCTAAAAATCCAATAACAATAATACTTCAAAAAAAAAAAAAAAGCCATATTTCCCTTAGTTAATCTGCTGGGCTGATAAAGGCTGATGAGTTTTAATCCTGGAACTAGGTTTTTGCTGATTTGATGCTTCTTTCTAGTGAAAACTTATGAGGACATGACCCTGGAAGAGCTAGAAGACAATGAAGATGAATTTAATGAGGAAGATGAGAGAGCTATTGAAATGTACAGGTCAGAGCAGCATGCAGAACGTGGCTTTTATGAAAATTGGAATTTTTTTCTTTTATATGCTCTTAGATACCATTGAAGAGAGGGAGGATGTTATTAGGCCTGATGATAGAAAATATGGGTTGTTTCTGGTTTCTTGTAGAGCTTCTAAGTGCCTTTAATTGGATAACTGGGTTTAAATTCAGTGTTCTTTATCTACAACCTAGTTTTGCAGAGATAGTGTGCACCTGCTGAGTGCATGGCTGGGGATTCTGAGAGCTTTGAAAATCGCCTCCAAGAATTCTCAGTTTTTGCGTGAATGGAATTAAGGTGCTGCAGACTAACATAATTACCGTGTTGATTTCCATTTTCTCCCTGTCTCTACCGTATCTTGTGGCTTTTGCCATTTAGTTTGGTAGTGTGGTATCTGCAGAGGAAATGTCTGCTGAGGGCAGAAATGACGGGGAGGCGAAAAAGTATTAATGAAACATAGTTGTACTTCTTGCATGTTGGTGGTTTTAACTTGTGATGCAAATGTAAAAGCATCTATTGACTATGTCAACTTGCTTTTGTTGCTTTGGGGTTTGAAGAGCTTTCCAATACACCTCTGAAGTCCAGGTCTCAACCAGCTCTCTTAAGTGTTGTTCTGTCAAAAATGCATCTATTCCTAAGATCTCTTTCTCATTCCTTGCTGTTCAGGCAGCAAAGGTTAGCAGAAATGAAAGCAGCTCAAATAAAGAATAAATTTGGGGAAGTTTTGGAGATTTCGGGAAAAGATTATGTTCAAGAGGTTACGAAAGCTGGAAAAGGTATATGGGTAGTCCTGCACCTCTACAAACAAGGGTAAGAATTTGTTTTTCACCTTTAAACCTTTTGCTGTCAGTAGCTGAAAACAGTCAAATGTGTAGTTACTGTGGAAATTAAGGAACTTATTTCAGATTTGTAAGAAATAGAAAATTGAATTAGTAATTTGATTACTATTGACTCAAGACAGCTGAACTTAGCTCTGAAAGGATGTCACTGTGAAGTGGCTTTTTTAATACATATGTATGGCACTGTGTGACTTGTACCATATAGCTGCCATACAGGTAGCTGCTGCCACTGAAATATCCAAGGTTTAGAAATTATTCTGGATAAACTGTGAGGAGCTGTGTATTAGAAGGATGACTGTGTTAGCTCAGTTTCTACAGGCATAAAACCAGAATGAATAAGGTTTCCAGTCCTGTCCATGTGAGGGAAAGACTTGTCAAAAAGTTCTGGTAAGCTGCTAGAGTTTTCTGGAAAGGATTAGAAATACTTGATTTTGTTTATTGTGTCTAATTGCCTCACAGGTTTCCATTGCTACTTGCATATACTTCCTTCCAGGAGTTGCTTTTCTTTCTATTTTGCCCTTGCTCATTCAATTTCTAAATACCATATCTTCATAAGCCAATTACTCTGTATGATAGAGGGGCAAGTTGTTTGCTGATATCTTAAAACAAACAAAAAAGCCCCCCAAAAGTCCAAAACTTCCAGTGATGCTGATTTCCTTTGAATGTTGTAGTACTGGACAACCAAAAGTACTCAGAGGTTGCTCCTGGTACACTTGTCTTTCCATAAATGCTACTCATTGAGCTGATATTTCTGACCTTTCTTCTGGAGCAGATTGTCTGATTTGTGTTTTTTTTAATTTTTTTTCCTTGTGTGTGTCTGCTGTTCATCACAGAATTCCACTCTGTGCCTTAATAAATCAACATCTGAGCGGGCTCGCAAGGAAGTTCAGAGACGTGAAATTCATCAAAGCTATCTCTACCACCTGCATTCCCAACTACCCCGATAAGAACCTGCCTACGATATTTGTCTACCTGGAGGGAGACATCAAAGCTCAGTTCATTGGGCCTCTGGTGTTTGGAGGCATGAACCTGACACGGGATGGTGAGTGCATAGTCCGTGCACACCGTAACCGGCACTTGTGGGTTCATTTTCCAGCTGATGGCATGTGTTTGTCTGTTGCACGCTCCTGACACACCAGCTCTGCTACTCACTAACCCTTGGAGAGAGCCTGCCTGTTTGTCCAAAGGGGGCTGCTCGCCTGAAACTGGGCTACTTCCTTTTCCTCTTGCCACATCTCAGAGATGGCAGCGTGTTAAGCCCCTTGGGGAGAGGCTGTTACTTTCCCTGGACGATGCAGTTTTCCCCAGACTATTTCTTCTTGCCCCACTTAGCAGGCTGTGGGGGGTGGGTTGTTCAGCCTCACCAGCGTGATGTGCTTTGGGAGGTGAAGGTTGTGGGGTGAGGATGCAGGTCGTGCACAGCACCCCAGCTCTTCCGTAAAAGCTGCTGTTTGGAGGTGGTTGGTCGGGGATGGTGTCCTACTGCAGTGCTTGAAGACAGAGGTCAGTGGTGAGGCTCTTCTTGGAAAGCAAATGCACCTTGGATGTAACCTAGTGGATTTTGCTTCAGTTAAAAGGATACTCATCAGCTTTCTGGGGAGGTGTATTGATCCAGTTCCCTTCAGGTTTTTTCACAGTCAGGCTTTTAGGGCATCTTTACCTGAAGTGAACCACAGCTGAGCAGCATTTCAAGGTCCCTGCTGAATGAAGTCATTCCCTATATTGGGAGAGAATGCAAAGGGTATTGTTTTTTTTTTTTTACTAAAACCCTGAAATTTACAGGGTATCTCGAGCATGTGCTGTAGAAAATGTTCCTCTGCCTTCAACTGTCAGAAGGGGAAAAGCTCACAGATGAAATAGCTGATTTGAGAACAGTTGACTAACTACAGAGGTTGCCTAATTATGCACTGAAGTGAGCAGCAGTAGCAAAACTTAGTTAGCTTTCTCCCATTTTTAGCACATAAATAATTGAATTTGGGAGGTCCAAGGGTGACTGAGTCAGGTTAGTTCAGTCTCCACAGAAAGATGGGCACTGAAATTACGCACTTTCTCTTATTTCTTTCTTCCTTTTCCCCTAAGCTCGGGTGACTTCCACTGGAAATTAAGGGAAGTGTGAGTTATATTCATTACTCAGTAATGGCTGAAGGAAATTGGATTTAATGGTAGGGTTTCCAGCAGGACTAGGAGACAGCTTTCAATTGAATGTGTTGTATTGACTTTCTAGCACTTTTGGGAAGCAGTCCAATTTGGGCCTATATCGTAATAGGCCTACTACTGATGGCAGAGTCTCTCTTACTGTCTGTCTAAGGAACTAATAATCAGTGTGTGGGGTAGTGAGAAAGGGGTGAATTGCATTTACAGAGTACATCCCTGAAAAATACCTGTAATTCAGATGTGTAAACGGAATTGCCAGAATTATTTTTTTTTGCCCCTCAGCAAATCTATTCCCTGCCTCCTCTGACTGTGGTGAAGGTGATGTATGGTGGAAACAGCTGTAAGACATGAGCAGTATTGCTTCATCTGCACGGGATGTGCACACCCGTTTTCTGCCCTTGCGTGGTTAGATGAGGCAGCCCTCCCAGTGAAAGGGAATCCCACCTCCTTCTAAAACCTTCTGCTCTGTGTCGGTTGCCACCTTTACCATCCTGGTTGTAAAGGGAGCAGGGATGCCACTGGTAGGGTGCAGAACAGTGCCCCGAGCTTTGTACTGGAACCTGTGCCAGCACTAGTGACAGAAGAGAGGGCTTGGCTGGCATGGGTGTGGGAGACAGGGCAGGGGCCCTGTGGGTGGAAGAAGAGCGGGAGGAATAGGGCAGGGCCCTGGCTTTGGTGGGTGATGACAGGGTGATACAAGAAGTTGGCTGGAGAGGCAAAAGTGGGAAGGGCAGTGGGGAACTGTGTTGCTCGCTGGGGTCCTTTTTTGTTACCTCTGACGGTAAACTAGGAAGTGCAAGGGGCTGTTGTACTGAAATAAACAAATTAGCATATGTCAGTAGGAGCCAGAGCTGAAGAAAGCCCAGTTTGCTGCCCCACATTCATGGCTCTCATTTTCCTCTGCACAGAGTTAGAGTGGAAGATTTCGGAGTCGGGTGCCATCAAGACAGACCTCGAGGAGAACCCCAGGAAGCAGATCCAAGACCAGCTCATGTCCTCGATCAGGGCGTGTGTCCCAGCCAGGGAGGAGAGTGACTCAGAGGATGACTAACTCCTGTGTCAGTGTTGATATTGATACAGTACACTGGCAGCCACTGTTACCACCTGGAACACTGGAGGCAATCATGAAGATCTCGCTGAGCACCAGAAGGTGCTTCAAGACAGCCAGTTATCTAGAAACCAAAAGTTTTTTTTTTTTAAAAAAAAAAAAGCCACAAGAAACTTAATGCGGCTTCACTTAAGATCCTGAAAGACATTTTACGTTATGAAGCCTGAAGCCTTTGAATCTTACTCAAAGTTTTAAAATATAGAAATCGGTAGAAACAGAGGTCTCTTGTTGTTTTCTTAGTAAATCGCTGACTTCTTTTAAAAAAAAATCTGCAATACTAAATGGCCTTAAGTGCACTGGTTTTGACAAGCTTAACTTGTGATAAGTTGAATCTAAATAGCTGGTCTTAAACGTGATTTGGCTGCAGCATTTGGTTGGGCCTTCTGTCAGCCCACTGTGCATACCTGTTGAACAGCCTGGAGAGCGAAGGGAGGTGACCTGTGACACGGGTGCTGTTGAAGGTGACATGGCTTTTCGCAGAGATGTGTGGGCAGGAGGGCCCAAGGCTGGGGCTGGGACCCTGGACATCTGGAAAGAAGCCTCTGGCAGGCAGTGTCTACTGGAGCCTGCTGAGTCCAGAAGTCCCTCTCACGTGCACCAAATCACTTAGGAGCAGTATTTTGCCTTTTGCAGGGGCTGAGCTTCCTGCACTGCACTTAACCTGCTGATCAGGAAAGAAAACTCAAGATGGTGATGGCTCGAGTGTGAAATTGCTGACTTCTTCCACAAAATCAGAAGTCTGATGCAATACTGCGGTAGTGCCATTGCCAAATGGGAGGGAAGATGATATTTGAAGAGCTGACGTCTTTCTGTGTTAAAGCCTTCCATCTTTTTCTAGGTACAGTAATAATAATTGGAGCCTTAGAAGAGAATGAACCGAAATACCACCTTAATTATAGATCTGCTGACACTCAGAGCTGCCTGCTTGTTCTGGGTTGGATTTAATGTCCACCTACACTTTCAATTTGTCTGCTCTTGGGCTAACAAGCTCCCAGCAGCTTTTGCTAACAAGGCTGCCCCAAGGACATTTTGTTATTGCTGATGGATTCTGTGGGTGGATGGTACAGCATGCAATGCTCAATAAGCAGCAGTCTTTATTTTAGTTTTCTATTAGTTCATAGCAACTTCTAAGCATGTTTCCTTCACTCTCTCCCACAGCCATATCAGTGTGTAGGAAATAACTGTTCCTTAAACTTCACCTGAAGTTGTAAAGTCCTGATGGAGAGCTTTCTTTTTGAGATCCTAGTGGTGACTTGGGTGTCACTTAAGTCTCTCTTTATTTTTGGTGTGTTTTTGACAAAATGCTAACACTGAGCCAAGTGCAGTGGGATACAAGCTGATAAATACTCAGTTTTGTTGTTGTACATACCACCACGCTTCTCTTGACACTGGACTATCCAAAATGCTATCAGACCTCATGCTTTTCTGTACTTACCTCCATGTCTTTACGGTCTAGGAAGAGGTCAACTTTTTCCCCATAGAAGCCTGCTCATGTTGTTTATCTTTTGCCTGTCCTCGCTTAACTGCGCTTTGGAGTGACCTTTGAGCATGTGTGCTGGGTTCTTTTTGGGGGAAACTGTTTAGAGGAGCAGCTCCTAAAGGGCATTTGGTCTAAAGGGCTAGGGCAATGCTAGCCTGAAATAAGGCGCTCTGAAATCTCTGTAGAGGGGATATCCCATCCTCAGCCTCTCCCTCCAGATCTGCTGCTGTTGAGTTGTCTTGATTGCAGATGCAGCTGCCATACTCTTCTCAACTTGTTTTAAATTTATCAAACCTTCCAGAAGGGGAATCTGCAATCCATTTTGTATCACTGCTGTGACAACTTCAATTTGAAATCTAATTTTAAAAACAGGCAATGGTTTGGGTACTTTTAAACTTCCATTATTCCCTCTTTTATTGTTTCCTGCTTCAGTGCCTCTACAGAGGCAGAGTAGCAGTAATGTTGCAGCTGCCCTTTTGCTGTCTTCTAGACCATTGATGATTCATGGAGTACAGCAGAGATGAGCACGACGTTTGGATGAGGTTGCTGAGGGCTCTGTCCTGTGGGATGAAGACTCCTCAAATGGTCCCAGTGCTTGTTTGGCTCCCTCTGTGCTTTGCATCCAGCACAGGCAGCAAGACCTTGAGCCAGAATAGCTAAAGGCAGAGGAGTCTGTCCAAAGTTTGCTGTTCAGTCAGGAGAACTGGTGCTTCAGAGACAGACAGACATCTCTAGGATACTAACTATGGACCTATTAGAACTGATCAATAGAGAAAGCTGAATGACAGAGTGTGTCTCTTGACCAGCCCTTATTTTCATAGAATCAGATGGTTTGGGTTGGGAGGGACCTTAAAGACCATCCAGTTCCAACCCCCCTGCCATGGGCAGGGACACCTTCCACTAGACCAGGTTGCTCAAAGCCACATCCAGCCTGGCCTTGAACGCGTCCAGGGATGGGGCATCCACAGCTTCTCTGGGTAACCCGACAACCTGTTTTGATGCAATGACCTTAGCCCGTGGCTGCCAGCATAGAGTATGTGGTTTGAACACCCTTCTGGAATGGGAATGCTCATGCCCCCTGCTCCAGAAACTCTGCAAGTCTTCCTCAAAAGCTTCCTGCTTGCCCCTGTCCATGCTGGCACCGTGATTCTTGTTCCCTAATCTGCAAAGTAAGCTGTCTCCAGATGAGTTAGTGTCCCCTCATCAGAAGGGCTCATGCCTGCTTAATGAGGAGCTACCCTGGTGCAGGTTTGAGACCCTTGGGCAGAAGTGAGAATTAAACCAAGTTGCTGACACTGGTGGTGTGTGATGTGACAAAGCCTTGGATAAATAAAAGGGGAAGACACGACTTTGGACTGTTTAAATAAAAACCTTCTCTTCCAGCAGTCTTAAACGCACAGCTGCCTTTTGTTTGGACTCTAATGGATTGTGTGGGCTCTGGGACCACCAAGAGGACTGAGCTTCCAAAGGGGACTGCAGCTGTGTGCCAGATACCCTGTGCCCATCAGTGATGCTTATGGCTTTACAGCTTTCCCCTACAAGAAGGGAACCAGGTCTGCTTGGGAGGCATACCCAGGAGACGAGGCAGGTGATTTAGCACTTAATTTGCCATTTAATAGCTGTCATTGAGCAACGTATAACAATTCAGGAGAAATGGAGAGAAAGTTTCACTTGTACTGTCTTTTATCCTGAGCTGCTTAACGTGTTGACATGTTGGGGAATGCCATGCTGAAAGGGGCAGATGTGAGAATAACCAAAAACCAGAAGAGGTTGAATGTTCTGCCTAGTTGCTGAGAACCACGCAGAGCATCATTTCACATGGTTCTCTCTGCTGCTCGGTATTTGGCTAAATGTGAAAACAGCATCTCATGCTCTCTTCCTTGCCAGCGATATCACCCTGCTCAAGGCCCTTTGTAGAAATTAGGTCTCTGCAGGAAATGAATAATGAAATCAGTTTAACCTTTTGGCAGAGCAGAAGCTATGGAAGCACACAGTCAAGGGGAATGAGCTTTAGCTTAAAAGGAAGCTGACTGCTAAATTGCAAGCCAGAGCACTCAATTAATATACGCAGCAGAATGAGGCAAAGTAATGGGAGAAAATTACTGGAGAGCCTGAACTCTCATTTGCAAAGACCGGGGGCACTGTTGCTAAATGCGCTATCAGTATTTTTGCAGCCTATCAACGGTTTGTGTCAGGTAAGCATTCGCTCCGCACTGGTGCGAGAAGGGTCTCTCTGTCAGCTATCAGGCGAGAAGTCAGAGGAGGCAATCCTGGAAGAGGTGCTGAGGCTTGTACGGGTTGCTGTCCAGCGTACCGCTGTGAAAGCAGCCCTGACTCATCCCGCTCCGCAGGGCTGCCAGCAGGTGGGGGGGAAAAGGTAACCCTGGGCCATAGATGGTGATTTGCCATTAGTGGACAGTCACTCTGGAGTTTTTTGTGTGAAATGTAAGTGAAGCACTAGTAATAAAAAGCGTTTTTTTTGTGGTCTGGTCTGCTGCTTACCCAGGTTATGTGAGCAGCCACATTAGGGTCGTGGTGGGCTGCCCTGATCTGGGTAAATCACTGATTTTCCTTGTCCCAGGCCTGCTTGCCCTCACCAAACCTTTCCACAACCTGAAAGGGAGCGTACATCCACTTCACGTGCAGAGAGAAAGCCAGGAGTTGTGCAAGCAGGGCAAGGCCACGAAGTGGCAAGGTAAGATGCCAGGTCTCCAGGTACTTAATCTGACTGCAGTCAGGGCCCTGCACCTCGGCAGAAGTGTCTGCAGGACTGCGATCACAGGAGGTGCAGTGAAGGAGTGCCCTTTGAGTACCCGTACTGTGACATACCTGTTTGGTCAGGTTCCCCTTTCCCAGGGCTCAACTCAGCTGTGCTTGCTGCCTCCTTGGGTCTAGTCCATCATCTCCCTTTCCCAATAGGCTCAGGTGGGTATTTGGTTGGCCTTACTGCTGGAGTAGCTTAATTTAGATTAGAAAATTGACTCTGAAAAAGCTGGATGTGTGCTTCCAGCTCTGCTGGATCAGGGCACAGAATAAACACCCCATGTTAAGGCAATAAGTTAGCATGGCATCTGAATACCAATATTTATACTTTATGGAGTTCGTGAAGAAAGTAGCTCCCATCTACAGCAATTCACATGAAAATTAAGGTGTACTTATTCCTGTATTACAAACTCAAGTTCACAAGAATTGCTCGTTATTCTCTGGAAATCCAGGAAAGCTTCTTACTTCACAGGCTGTGTAGCAATGGGAAATGAGACTTCTAATAGAAACCTCAGCAAGTTAGTTTGGACTAGCTCTTGTTTCGTGAAGTGGGTAAAAAACCTTTTCCTATATATTTATTGGGATCGGATCATGTCTAAAGAAAAGTTTGCTCTCACTGAGATCAAAGGGGAATGCTTTCCCTTCTCCATTCTTTTGAATCACCACATTGCTAAAACTAATCTATTCCCTGTCAATTGTTTGGAAGGCAGTTGAACTCAATTCTCATTACAGCCCATTATAAATCACTCCTCATTTCAATCTCATTTAGCTAATTCAGTCATCAAAGGATTGCAGGAGGCATAAAGTATTTCAGTGATTCATTTAGCTCTTCACAGCATTATAA